TAGTTTTGATTGCCTGATAATTACAGATTTAAATTAACTATATATTGTATATATGATTGGTTGATAATTACAAATTTAAATTAACAATATATTGGTATATACGATATTGTATATGACCAATTTAAAAAAGAAAACCGATTTAAATGTATTGAGGAAATCTTTTAGTTAACAATATATTGTATATACGATATTTAATAACAAAATCCGTAAATGTTAATATTACTTCGTTTACAAGTTTTATTTAATATCATAATTAGTTATTATTTTTTTATTCTTACAGAATTAACGCTAACCACATTAACTGGATTAGCATTAACTCTTAAATTAAAAAAAAAAATTATTCTAATTACAATATACTCGCATAATATTCCTTATTCCACAAAGTTACATATTTTATCAAATCTGTAAAATATTCTGACCTACATTTTCTTAAGCTAAATTTTCTATACCACCTACCTATTATAAATATACAATCAATTAACCACGATATTCATCAGACCTACAGATACAAAAAAAAATGGCGAACAATATGAAACTAACTGTCTTGAACGATATCAAACCACGCAAGATGGCATGTCACATCCAAGTGAAGATCATTGATACAAGTAAATATTTCATGAATGACGTTGGAGAATCTATGAAACTAATACTATTTGATGCTAATGTAAGTTTAATATCTTATATAGATTTGTGATTTCTATATATTGATTTTGTTAAAATACAAACTAACCAATATGATTATTTTTATCTTTTTAAAGGAAACCAAAATCCATGCCTCGTATAAAAAAACACACAGTTGTAAATTGGCCAAACATATTTACCTCATTTTTATAGCTTAATAGTTAATATACATATAAATAAATATGCCATGAATGTTTCTACTAACAATATATTTACCTCATTTTATATTTCTATCTAATAATTTAGACGTTTTCAGTTTAAATCGGATGTTTAAATTAAAATATTCGAGAATTCCAAAAAAAAAATTAAATTTAGTTATCCATTTGATTCTTGGTTCGGGGTTAAAAAAGATCGTGGGTCAAAAATCGCGAGTCAAAATCTCATTTAAAATTTTATTTAGAAGAATTTATTTAATTTCAAAAACAAATCTACGCTTTCTAAGCGCATATCAAAATCTAGTTTTGACATTAAGCCAGCTACCGAAAGGAGACTCATTCAGCTCAACCAGTTAGATGAGATCAGACATTCAGCCTATGAAAACTCTAAGTTGTATGAGGAGGGAGGAGTGTATTTAATCTAAAATTTGAGAAGCTTTAATTTTAATAAGGTTCTAAATGATTTCAGTGAATTTACAAAATTTAAAGTGATTTTTGTTAAACTACTCTAAAATATCACATAACCTAGGATTCAATTTGATTTTTTTTTTATCTAAGAAGCTTCACCTAAACATTCAAAGTCACTTTTACATTTTAAAATCCCACAACTTAAAATATTTTCAGTAACAATAGATTTCACAGTAATTTATTAAATATCAGGTTCTATAACAGTGAATTTTAAATGAGTTTTTCAAAAAAAAATAGTGAATTTATCATTTTAATACAAATCACTTAAAACTTTTAGTTGAATACATTTCTGCCCCCAAATGTTTTTTATTTATTTGACACCTAAATTCAGTTTAGTGGACTACGTTCAGTAAAACAAGGTTATCTATATAACTCTTTTTTTTTGCGCTTAAAGATTATCTATATAACTTTATTTTTCAAATAATATAATATACAAGTTTTTCATTTTGGAATTAAAAAGTTGAATTATTGTGACCTAAAACTGTTACACTTTTTTTTTACATTGAAGAATAAAATACAGAACCTCCCAAAATAATGCAAGTGGTAACCGAAGTACACCTTTGATATACAAACATAAGAAAATTGCACGAAATTAAGGAGACTTGCCTTTAATATATTTTTCTGAAGAACAAATCAGAACTGCAAAAAAGCCATATAATAAAGAAAACGAAAAACAAAAAATCCGAAAAAAATAATATAAAATCTAACAATTAACATAACTTACTCAACACATATGAAATCATCATTGGTTGCTATGGACCATATCCCTAAAAGCAAGGCCAGGCTCTCGCCTAGTGGACCGTCAACAGCCAGGCTCATGCATCTCAAAATTTCCCAAAACTATTTTAGGCTATCTAGATTTTAAGTAATGTAATAACTTTTTTTTTTTAAAAAAGAGACATATTTTCATTTTTGTCATAGGCAGTTTGGCTGAAATAATCCAGCTTCTATCCCTCCAGCATGAACACAAGCTGACGCGGCCGGTTTATTGCGGTACGTTAATTTCACATCCTTAAGAGCATGATTATTGCAGGTCCCTTAAGTTGGGTCCCTTAGCGTACAGTCCCTTAGCTTTTAACTGAAAACGCTAAGGGACGTCCCTTATATAAGGGATTTAAGGGACGTCCCTTAGCGTTTTCAGTTAAAAGCTAAGGGACCGTACGCTAAGGGACCCAATTTAAGGGACCTGCAATAAACATGGTCTTAAGTCGAATTCCGGTACACGGTTTCTTAGGACTACAATCGAGTCTCACTCCAACTTCAGTTGCCGATGTTCCATGTATATCTACGAACAACACATCGCTGATTTTGATACCCGAAACCTGAATTTTTTAATATAAATATATGATTAAACTCCAATATTAGAACTGTTATGTATCTGTAACTATTACTTAATTAAATTAGGTACAGTACCTGGCGAGGGCAATTTTGAAGATGCAAGTGGAGCTTGTAGATGTCAATGGTCTTCCGTGACTAACTAGACGACGAAGTCACTGATGCTGGAGGCATTAGTCGTTACTACATAAGGCATGCGGAGTGGTGGGTTACCATGTGGATGCAGGATATGCTGAGATGGAGAAGGATAAACTAGAGGTTTATGTCTTGACGTAGTCGTTGAAGTAGTTGCTGATGCAGCGTGTGTCAGAGAGTGAACCATGAGGCATGCGGAGTGGTAGAGACCATGTGGACGCAAGATGCTGAGCTGGCGTGGGATAAACTTGAGGAGCAAGTTTATACCGTGGAGAAAAGGCAAGAGATAAACTTGGAGAGCAAGTTTATGCCTTGAGGAATAAGTACAAATCCAAGAAAAGGAAAGTGTACTTATTAATATGGAAGTTGTCCATATATCCATGTTGNAGACAAGTTTGGGTAGATTAGGAATCTTTCAGTAGCAGCTGTTAGAGTGTTAACAGGCTGTGTAAAACTGATAAACAAGGTCTTGTAATAGATTGTTTAAAGATGATTTCTAATAAAGCAAAGGTGTTGCTTGTATCTATTTTGTCTCTTGATTTATCTTCTGCAGTACTTAATTGTGGTGTCATCTTTGCACTTACAATTGGTATCAGAGCGGGTCACCTAAGTTACTGGTGTGATCCTGAAGGTGAAGATGTACACGGTTGTTTGCAGAAGACAATCTTGTTGGTTGATGGCCAGTTTGGTCATGAGAAGGCGCGCATGAAGTTGTTGGTTCGAGGAATCAATGAGGGTGCGTGGATAGCTGTGAATACTGCATGGGAGGAGCCTACGGTGGTCACAGCAGAGGGGAAGAAGTCCAGTCGAAGGAGCCAAGACAAGGCAAAGAGCTGTTCGAGAAGTAGTTCGGCGGATGCGTCAGAGGCTGATGCAGTACTCAGGAAGGGGCAGACAGTGTGTCTGTGAAAGAAGGCTTGACATCTAAGCATCTATGTTTTAGCTTAGTATGCAATCAAGCAGGGGGAGAAGTGATGACGTTCTGGTCCAAGGAGTGCATATCTCGTGGGGGAGAAGAGCATGGTGATGGACGTCCTGATGTAGATGGTGCATATCTCGTGGGGGAGAAGAGCATATCTATGTGTGAAGATGAAGATAGTGCAAGTCTCGTGGGGGAGAATGGCATATCGAGTGTGGAAGTTTCCAGGTGAGGAAACGTGGTTGTTGAACCAGAAGAGTATTGTGCTTGATTGGCACACAAAGCTAAAAGGGGGAGATTGAAGATGCAAGTGGAGCTTGTAGATGTCAATGGTCTTCCGTGACTAACTAGACGACGAAGTCACTGATGCTGGAGGCATTAGTCGTTACTACATAAGGCATGCGGAGTGGTGGGTTACCATGTGGATGCAGGATATGCTGAGATGGAGAAGGATAAACTAGAGGTTTATGTCTTGACGTAGTCGTTGAAGTAGTTGCTGATGCAGCGTGTGTCAGAGAGTGAACCAGGAGGCATGCGGAGTGGTAGAGACCATGTGGACGCAAGATGCTGAGCTGGCGTGGGATAAACTTGAGGAGCAAGTTTATACCGTGGAGAAAAGGCAAGAGATAAACTTGGAGAGCAAGTTTATGCCTTGAGGAATAAGTACAAATCCAAGAAAAGGAAAGTGTACTTATTAATATGGAAGTTGTCCATATATCCATGTTGNAGACAAGTTTGGGTAGATTAGGAATCTTTCAGTAGCAGCTGTTAGAGTGTTAACAGGCTGTGTAAAACTGATAAACAAGGTCTTGTAATAGATTGTTTAAAGATGATTTCTAATAAAGCAAAGGTGTTGCTTGTATCTATTTTGTCTCTTGATTTATCTTCTGCAGTACTTAATTGTGGTGTCATCTTTGCACTTACAAATTTTCGTTACGAGGACAATAGTTTTGGTCAATAATAATGGGGTTGTCTACGTTGTTCATTACACAATGTTGAAAACGGATGTTCCTGGCGAATCCACTACTAGGCCTTGCCCATGATTTGATCCTCACTCCGTTATCTGTTCCCGAGAATATCACCGTTTTAACAGTGACGTTCTGTACACCTACCTCCACTGCAATATCCTATCCAAAATACTGTCAAAATTTAAAAATTTTCATTAAAAAGAAATTAATTTTTTCTTTTATCAGACAAATGGATATCAATGGAAAATATAATTATTAATAGTATTTGCTATGCATTTATTCGAAATATTATGTTTATACGTGATAGTGGCATGAGTTATAATTTCACAAGTTTGTAATTCATCGAGAAGGATCCATAATAAATGTACCTGATGCCGTGACCGGGGCCACATGAGACATTTTCGATCCAGAGACCGTTATTCCGGGACCGATGGAGACGCAATCGTCGCCAGTGGATATTTTGGTATTGAAGATAGAGACAGTGGAGGAAGACTGAACATGGATACCGTCTGTGTTGGGACTGTTTCGTGCGGCTAATACTTTGACTCCTTGAAGCATTACGTTGTTGCAAGCGTTGATGACGACGTGGAACATCTGGCTGTTAAGTGACGTCAACCCGGAGACCACAACGTTGTTTGAGCTCTGAAACCCTATGGTCTGTTGATTCACATGATAAGAAAAACTGTTTCATTTATTAAATTAAATTGTACAAATGATATTGATATGTGAATTCATGGTTGGTCACTTGGCCCCATGTGAATTTGGGAGTGGTTGAATTAATTTTAATAAATCCTTAAAACTTCATAATACAGAATATTGTGTCATTAGTTACATAATTCTTATTTTTGAAATGATTTAAACTAATGTCTTATTAACTGAATTTGAAGGCTAATTGGTTGATCTCTAGGACGTTACGTACCGTGGCTCCTCTAGGGCAATTCTTGCCGGAACTTTTACAATCCCATAGAGAAGTTCCTTGAGCGTCAAGAACTCCGCCGTAGACGGCGACTCCGTCAAGATGCTGGAAAAGAATCCAATAATCTTCATCACCAATAATTCTATAATCAGCCGGAGCCACCAATGTACCATCTATACGGAACGTGATGGGCTTGGGCTTGCACTTTGAACCATCGAACTTAAGGCTCCTTAACAAGAACCGGCCTTTAGGAACCACAATGGTCACGGGACGAGACGAGGTACAAGCAGTTTCCCAAACCACCATAAACTCTTTGGTTGCGTCTGTCTTTCCGTCCGGTATAGCTCCGAAAGACAAAACATTGTCAGATTGAGCAAAGCAAAAGGAGATGAAGAAGAAGAAGACCAAGCGGGCAAGAAGTGAAGCCATTGTATGTTGCTAACGTACACTTGTTTAGAGATAATTAAAGAGGGAGAGAAAGTGGAGTAGTGGAGCAGTGGTGGTGGTGTGAGAAGTTTTAACGTTATGGAATGTATTTATAGTGCTTGTCTTGTACTCCCTCTGTTTTTAAATAAGTGTCATTTTGACTATTTGCACATAAATTAAGAAAATTGTATAATAGACTAATATATCCCTATTTAATGTATGTTTAACTAAATGAAAATAATTTAAGTAAAATACTATTGGTTATTCAAAAGGGTAAAAATAAATTTAATGTACAAAATTACATTGGGATTGTAGAATGACACTTTTTTTGAAACAAAATTAAAAGGCTAAAGTGTCATCAAGCCAGCTGATCATCAGAGTTTCAGCCTCATCCGCCACAATATATCATTTCTCCTTACAGGGATAGAAGCATGGAGGATTGATCACGCTCTCCCGGAGCGCAACGAAGCTGCAGCGGCCATTGCCTTAAGTGTCACCCGTGATCTACGGCACCAATCGTACATTGCCCGGAATGCTCCAGTTTGGCTTCACCATCTTCTCGCTTTGGAGGCTCAATAGTTAACGGATTGGGTGAGATTTTCTTGGTTTTGGTGTCTAATGACATCCCTTTATACCCATGTATCTCATTGATTCTCATGTTTGTGTTGGCGCGTTTTTAGTTTCCATTGTACCTTCAAACACCAGTGTTAAAAAAAAAAGAGGCTAAAGTGACACTTATTTATAAACAGAGGGAGTATATGAAGAGTTTTTTTGTTTGTTTATATACTGGATTTGGCATGCATTAAATTAGGTGTGAATTTGTTTTGCATGATTGTTATTATTCATTCAAAACGCATCATATATATATATATATATATATATATATCTAAGGTATGTTGTTATGTTAAAATTGAATACTAGGCTCATATATTTAACAAAAATTAAGAGTTTTTTGTTATTGGTGTGTGTAATATTCTATGTTACATGGAAACAGAAGCGGAAGCGCGGAAGCAGAATCGTATAGAAGCGCGAAATCGAGATTTTTTAAAAAACTAGGAAGCGTGTACGTGTTGGAAGCGTATATCCAAATATATATATATATATATATATATATATAAGAAAATTTTATAAAATTTATAACTAAGAATTATATGATTCTAATTTAAAATAAAGCATTTATTCATTTATCATAAATTTAAATGATTGCATATTATAATTGTGAAAACATGATTAAATTAAATTTATAGACAAATATTACTAATTAGTTATTTTTACATTTAATAAATAATTGGCACACAAGATTTGAATATAAATATATATATATATGTGTGTGTGATATATCTCTAATAAAAACAGTGCATACATATGATTTATAATATTAATATTATTATTTACATATATATATATATATTATTATATATTATAAAAATAAAAATGATTTTGTATTTTATTTATTTATATATAATATTGTGTTTTTAAAATTGGAAGCGTGATTCCAAAGTGGAACCGTAAGCTTCCAATGTGTTTTTATATATGATTCCGTAAGCTTCCATAAGGTCGATGGTTGAAAAAAACGAGGAAACTAACATTAAATGATCATGGTTCACATTGGCTATGCTGCCTAGTGCCTATCAGCCTATGCAATATACATGAAGATTTGTGGACAGTGAGACACAAGTAGAACACAAGTTCAACGCATGTGGCCAAGTATTTTAGTAACTGAGTAACTTTTTTTTGTCAACCAGTAACTGAGTGACTTTAGTTAGTGGCAAAAAAATTGTTTGTTAAAAACAAAACAGTGATTAATTACTAGTCAAAGTTCAGTAGTGAAACTCTGGCTGTAACTGGAATGCTATTTTGTAGAATAGATTTGTGTGGAATGCATTTCACTTTTCAAATGAAACAAAAACAAAATTCTGATACAAAATTCCTTCCTTTTGTTCCACAATATAAACTCTCATAGTGAATGGAATAAGCAGAATTAACTATTCCATTAATACTTTTAGTTTTTATTCCATTTTATTTAACTTCCAATTTTTACTATTCCAAAAATATTCATTCTTTTTATTCATGGTATTTCTACTAAGAAGAACTATTTACAGACTATATGTTTTTGAACTTTCGAGATTATTTTTTTGTTGTACAAATAGGAAGGATTGTTTGCATATCGTGTACATTTGTCATAGCAAATGAACAAAAAAATAGTTTGTCCTTTTTTTTGTCACTGAATATTGCATTTAAAGGAAAAAGATAAGGACTTGGGCCTAAGGAACCCAAATCAGAGGTTCGAAATACAAGAGAGATGGGCCTTAAGGGCTACTTTAGCTAGATTGTCTGCGATAGCATTATCAGAACGAGGAATGTGAGAAAACGAAAGGGTTACAAACTCAGAAGAGATCAATCGGATGTCTTTCACGATGCCGATGATTTCCTTGGACTGAGTGTTTCCGATGATTGCTCTGATGAGCGTTAGAGAATCGGAGCAGGCGATAATGGCAGAGAAATCCCGAGAGACTGCCATGCAAAGGGCTGCTCGCATCGCTTTGGCTTCTGCTACAAGAGGTGATGAGATGAAGTTTTCTACCATCGATCCGATGACCTGGGACTCCAGATTCGCTCCTGAAAAGACCCATCCCAGTCCTGCGATCAAATTTCCTTCACTCCAAGCGGCGTCCGTCCTACAGATAAGGATGTTGGTGTCGAGATGGTTTTCAGAGAAACCTGACCGCAACGATGGAATCGGAGGTACAGATCCAGATTCCTTTAACTTCTCTTGTGCTTTGGTCCATTCTCTTGCAAGTTGAATTCCTTTCCTAGCTGTATCTGCCGCTGATTGATGTCTATTTTCAAACAGGAGACTGTTTCTTGCTGTCCAAATTGCCCATAGGATCCATGGCAAGATATTGTAGGGAAGACCTACTGGTGGGAGACATATTGCGTTTCTGAACCTGACCACTACCTCTTGAAAGGAGATGTATGTTGTTATGTGGATACCTCGGTGAAGTGGTACATTGTCCCATACTTGAGTAGCATATGAGCAAGTAAAGAAACAGTGAATAGCTGATTCTACCTCTTTGCACCTAACGCATTCGACCCCTGATAAAACTCTTCTACTTTGCAGGCTACTTCCTAGGGGGAGAGCATTTTGAATGATAGACCACAAGAAAGTCTTCATCTTTGGTGAGAATTTTCCTGCCCACACATCTTTATTCCATTTGAAAGTCTATGCTGATACCAATTGGGTTGTGCTCTCAGGTTGCAGTGAGGCTTCAAAATACCCAGACCTTGTGGTATAAATGCCTGACTTTGTCGGTTTCCAAATGAAGGAGTCCTCAGCACCCATGGTGCTTGGATGGAGAGATTGGATCTGGTCAGAAAAATCAGGTAGAAGCTCATCGATCCTTGCTTTGTTCCACTTAAGATCAGACGTCAATAGGTCAGAAACGGTTAGGTCTAGAGCTTCTTCCCGTATAGGTCCAAAAGTTTAAAATTCTTGTCTAGCGAGATCCAGGAGTCTTTCTAGAGTCTAGTGGTTTGGCCGTTTCCTATAGCCTTTCCCAACTTAGTTAAGAGGAGGTCTTTGCCATGTAATATCCCTCTCCATCCATGAGAACTGCACTGCGGTGCTTCTACATCAAGGAAGTTCTTCTTATTACAGTACTTTCCGAATAGGATTCTCGCTAATAGGCTCCTTGGTACTGTAATAATCCGCCATGCAAGTTTGGCTAATAGGGCTTGATTGAAGATTTGAATGTCTCTAATTCCCAGCCCACCCTGTAGCTTTGGCTTTGTTAGTTTATCCCACGCAACCCAGCAAATCTTCCTCTTTCCATCTGTTCCATCCCACCAGAACCTTGTCAATACTGACTGAATTCTTTTGCACAGGCTGGCTGGCATTTGGAAGCATGACATGGGGTATGTTGGGATTGCGCAAAGGACGGACTTCAACATTGTCAGCTTCCCTGCCCGAGAAAGCCGTTTTGTAGACTAACTTTGAGCTCTTTGTCTGATTCTGTCCACCAAAGAGGTAAAAATATATTTCTTTTTCCTTCCAAAATTTTCAGGGAGTCCTAAATATTTTCCCAGTCCTCCTTCTTTCATTATTCCTAGGATTGATTTCGCCTTTTCTCTTACTTCAGGAGGAGATTTAGAGGAGAAGGTGATAGAGGAGTTACTTTTATTGATCATCTGACCGGAGGCTTTCTCGTAGACCTGTAGAATCTGGACCAGTGCTTCGCAGCTCGGAGCAGAAACTTGGAAGAAAAACATGGTGTCATCTGCAAAGAGCAGATGGTGCACCCTCGGACATCCACGAGCAACCCTAATACCCTGGATCAAACCCTTTTTACCTGCTTCTCTGCAAAGGCCTGACAAGACTTCACTGCACAGGATGAACACATAGGGAGACAGGGGATCTCCCTGTCTGATTCCCCGGTAAGGTTGTATATTTTCATATGCTGTATCATTTATCAGGTATGAGTACGTGACTGTAGTGATGCACTGCATTATCCATACTATTTAGATTGAATGAAATCCTAGCCTTTGTAAAACATCTGAGATGAACTTCCACTCAATTCTGTCATATGCTTTAGACATGTATGTTTTCACCGCCATAGTGCAATTCTTTTCTGCTTTTGAAGTCTTTAGAAAGTGTAGCACCTCATGTGTGATTAGGACATTGTCTGCTATTGCTCTTCCTGGAATGAATGAAGATTGATTCTCTGAAATAATAAACCCTAGCACTGTCTTGAGTCTGAGTGACAGCAATTTGGAGATAGTTTTGTAGTAGATATTGCATAAAGAAATTGGTCGATAATCCTCTACTCTCTTTGCTTCGATGATCTTAGGAATGAGTCTGACATGTGTTTTATTTATTGTTAGTGCGAGGACTCCCGTTGAGAAGAAGGCTTGTATCTCCTTAATCACTATCGGTCCAATTACCTCCCAGTTAGACTGGAAAAAGGCGGCTGAGAACCCATCTAGACCAGGTGCTTTGTCCGGAT